ACGGCCTGTCAGTAGCTTCTTCCCCACCCAGAGAGGAGACACACGGCGCTGTGGGATGGCCCACGGCGAGGAGAGCAGGGACACGCGGGTGTCGCGTGATGTTAATGAAGAAGGGCGTCAGTCCAGTCGACGCGTGTACCGCGTTTTCAGCGTGAACTCGGCCAGAGGCAGAAACGAGCTTCAACTGGAGAACGACGTCGCGTAGCTTCGATGGACGTCTTTGAGGACGCGATTTACGCGCTCCGTCTGGCCGTCCGTTTTTGGATAGGCTGCCGTGGACATCAACAGCTTCGAGACCAGTAATTCGAAGAGCTTCGACCAGAAGGCCGACGTGAAGCGCGGGTCGCGGTCGGAGACGATGGATTCGGGAAGGCCACGATGGCGGAAGACCGCATTGATAAAGTGCACTACGGTATCTGCCGCCGTGACCGAATCCGACACCGAAATAAAGTGGACCATCTTGCTGAAGCGGTCGACGAACACCAAAACACCTGAACGTCCTTTAGCATCGGGTGGGAGCCCGAAGATGAAGTCCATCGACACCTAGCACCAGGCCTCGGTGGTCCCTGGTAGAGGTCGCAGGGGAGCCTGCGACGACGAAGCAGGTTTCACGCGCTGACAGATCTTGCAGGTGCGCACCCACTTACGTGCCCCTTTACACAGATGACGTCAATAAAAGTCGCGTGATACAGCGGCTAACGTCTTCTCGCGACCGAGATGAGCATACAGCGGGGCACCATGAAACTCATGGATAATCCGTGAGCGCAGATCGGGGTCGTTAGGGACAACGACACGTGGGGCATCGAAGTTGTCGATGCTGTACGTCAGCAGCTCATCCTCGAGACGATATCGGTGAATAAGGTTTCGTACAGAGTGGGAACGAGCTCCCAGTGTGTCGGCGCTGGGAGAGCGGAGATGCTCCAGAATCTGGTGTACGTCGAGTCATGCTCGTAAGCAGCTCCGATTTCGTCGCGAGGTTGTATAACTGGGGAGACGCTCATCCGGTTGACTCTTGACGCTTCGCATGTGACACATCGCCTTCATCGAGCGAAGCTTGTCGACCCAATGCTCGTAGTTGGGACGCCGAGACAAAGGATCGGCGAGAATGCTGTTCTTATCGAGCTTGTAATGGACCACGAAGTTGTATTCAGAGAAGAATGAAAGCCAGCGGGCCATCCGCTGGGACAAATGAGGACTCTTCATCGCTGTCCTTAGCGATGCATGGTCGGTGTACATCGCGAAGGTATCCTCACCCAACAAGTACACTCTGAACTTGATCAGAGCATAGCGCATCGCAAGGAGCTCCTTGTCGTGGACAGGGTAGTTGCGCTCCGCCGGCTTCATCTGTCTGGACTGGTAGCTTACGACGCGATCGCGGCCTTCATCATCGAATTGCATCAGCACACAGCCGATGGCGAAATCGCTCGCGTCGCAGACGACGTGAAAAGGCTTCGATCGTCCGGGAGCGCGAGGATTGGGGCCTCGGTGAGACTCTTCTTCACCGAGTCGAAGGCGGCTTGATGTGTGGAAGTCCACATCTTTCTCCAACAACGAAGAAAGCGGCTGGATCTATCCGGCGTAATTCTTCGTGTACTTGTGGAGATAATTTGCGAGACCCAGCCACTGACGCAGTTCAGTGGGATTCTGTGGCGTAGGCCACGCACATATCGACGACACTTTCTCGGGGTCGGCGCGGACGCCGTTCTTGCTCACAAAGCAGCCAAGCACCGGAATCTCCGGCGCGCAGAATATACACTTCTTCAAGTTGGCATACAGCTTGTTTTCGCGCATCACTTGGAAGACTTGCCTCAGATGCTTCAAGTGGACTTCAAGCGCGCTGAGGCCCCCCTCAGCGCGACTGTGTACGAAGATGTCATCAAAATAACTCGGTGCGAAATCGCGGAGCGGGCGCAGCACATGGGATACCATGCGATTGAACGTGGCGGGAGCATTCTTCAAGCCTTGTGGCATAAGAAGCCACTCCCAGAGCATACCACTGGGAGTGCTTACCGCTGTGAGCGGTATATCGCTCAGCCTCATGAGGATTTGGTAGAACCCATCGGTCAAGTCGATGGCGCTGAAGACCTCACTACCCGACATTGCGTCGAGCACCATGTCCCTCCGAGGAATCGGCGTCTGGGCAGGGATGGTAGCGTCGTTCAGCTTGTTGAAGGCATGGACGATGCGCCATCCGCCCGTGGCTTTCTTCACACAGAAGGTCGGACTGGAGTGCGGCGATGTGCTCTCACGCACATGACCCGCCTTGCGGCGGCTCTCGAAGAAGTCATCGATAGCTTGGACCTGATCTCGCGGGAGCGGCCACTGCCGCGTCGCACAATACTTCGAGCCGGGCACGAGATCGATCTCGTGGCGAATTCCTCGGTCAGCTGGCAACTCAGCTGGGATCTTATCCGGAAATACATCTTCATATTCGCGAGCGGTCTCGTAGACTGGATTGCCGGATTCGCGTAGCGCTTCCCAAGACTGCGCTGCGAAGCGCTCCTCGCGGGCCGACTTAGGTTCAGCGCTCTTTGGACGCGAGACGTCGTCACTGACTGCATTCACTTCGAGCGACGCCGAATCGGCGTCGGTGATCAGGCAAATCTGTCCGATTTCATCGGCCTTGAGGCCGCGAAGAAAGTTCTTCCAGGAGAGACCTGGAAGTCGAGTGATCGACCCTGCCTCGCCAGGCGGGTTTGCAATTTCGAGTGTTCGTCGGCGGCCAGAGGTACCTTCCACATTGACCCCGTGCAGAGACAAAGTTCCAGGGCAAGATTTCGCGTTCTTAGTCGCAGACGGCTATGACGTTCAACTGGGGCAACTCAAGCGTGTGTTCGATACGACGTCAGGTCTCACGTGGAACGAGCCTATTAAAGTGTACGTGAAACCCACAAACCACGCGCCACAGAAGAATTACGTGCTGGTGCCATCCTCTTCAAGCGACATGGAAGCACTGTTCGTTACAATTGGCACAAGGCACGCCTACGGAGGCACGGACATGCAGTTTTCGTGCTCTTATTGTCGGCACGGACATGCAGCTTTCGTGCTCTTATTAAGTTGCGGCGTTCATGCGTGAAAACGGAATCGAAGGTGGAGCTGCCACACAGCGATATGCGGCTATTAGCCAAGTACCGCTAATCGATGGCGCTGCCGTGGAGGTTCCGGATAGCACTACTTTTTGCCAGCTGCAATTTATCGATCGCCAACAGAATACAGTGGAGCATGAGCGAGCGGTTCAGCAAGCGAGATGTGATAAAGCGTATCGGCTAGTGAGAGTATAAATGCATGGTGTAACGGGGCCCATGTTCTTTGACGTGAGCGATTTGCGTAATGCTCTAGAACTTCCCTCCTACAGCTTGCGCCCACCCCATCGTGTACCCCAACAACTCGATGTGCCAGATCCGAGCGTGGATATTACTTATGTTGATCACGAAGATGGCGGCTTGGACGCAGAAGAATAGGAAACAGATACATTTGCTCAAATCGACGAAAGTTGTATTTGATTAGGATGATATTCACAATGATCGTAAAAATGGTACCAACTAATTCGCTCTTCTTCGTGCAGTAGTGCATAGCAACTTTCACACCTTCTTCTGGGGCTTCTCGGAAAGCCATATTTGCGTGCCGTTGGATCCAGCGCTTTAGTAAGGAACCCCCAACTTCAATTGGGCTCAGGTCCGGCGAATATGGTGGTAAAAAATAACAGAGCTCCCGTAGCGTAAACCAGCGCCTGTAGCGCTTGATACATATGTAGCTTAGCATTGTCTAATACAACGATCGAACGAGGTAGCGTCATGGGTTCAGGAAAGGTATAATCTTGGACTTGAAAACAGCGTGAAAGCTGGTCCCTGTGAAAGGATCATCAACCGTCCCCCGCGAAAAAAATCCTGTCGTATCCATTGCTGCAAGAATTGATACGCGCTTTACCCGAGCAATTGGGACATTAACTATCGCTGGTGTGTTTCGAGCCGACCAGCCATGTTTTCGCAACATAGACCTACAAAAATCAAAATCATTAGAAATTGAACCTAATAGACTTGCCATTGTACATACATGCCGTCCTTGGAAGTCCCATCTACAAAAACTAGCTGATCTGGTTCACTATAGTTAGGGTCAAGACGCTGGACAAACTCCTGGTGCTCTCGAGGTAGACTCTCCACATCACGCTTAGTTAAACCTTACGAGTGAGGCCCAAGTCAGACTGTAGCGCACGGTATATCGCGGCATCTGACACGTTGCGGTGCATGTCAAACTGCTAAGCAAAATTCAGCACGCAGCTCTTCAAAGTAAAATCATGGATGGTCTTTGACATACTCCTGAACAAACAAACACACATTTTGAGGCCATTTTGAGGTATTTTCTTTGGACTCTTATTGTCTACATTGCCAGTCTTGACAAACGTGTGATACCACCTAATGAGGCTTTTCTCAGATACACTCTAGGACAGTAGAAACTGCTTAACTGAATGTCATAAACATACATGAGCACGATACCGCGCCACTTCGTATCTAATGAAAATGTCTGTTTTTTACAAACTGATGAGGCTTGGAAGAGCTTTGTTTTCAAATGAAATGTCCAAATGCCGACTAAGACATGGCAATCGGGCTATCTCGATGAAAAGTTTTCATTGAAAACAAATTCCGACCAGCCATCCTACATGCTTGAATTAAAACGGTACAGTGGTACAATATTCCAAATCATCACGCATTGCTGGCGTAAAAATCTACTTGCCCTTAGTTTTTGTTAAGTACGACTCGGAAAAACAAACTTTTTCTTGCCGTATTAACCAAAAAAAGGGAAAGGCACAAAATAACTTCTTCGATATTACAAACATATCCAATAAATATCCAGATAATTTAGCAGGTCGCGCGATCGATCAGTCCCGGTTTTAGTGCTAAGTGTTTGCTGATCCTTAATTAGAGGCTTAACTTTTTGGGATATCACTCCAAAGAGGATTGTATGTATCATGCTCTTGAAGCAAGGGGGGAGAAATCGTTAGAGAAAACCAAGTATCAAGACAAGAGCATGAGTGACGCCGTCAAGCCACTGCAGAGTCTGCTGGACGCATTCGGCGAGCGCCTGGCCCGCGTGGAGGCACAGCTTGGCGTTCCGGTTTCGCCTGTTCCCGCACCTGCCGCCGCTGCCGCTGCCGTGGCTGCCGCACCAATGGAGCTGTCACCTCAGCTCGAGGCCTATGACGAATACGTGGCTCAGTACCTCCCTCCTTTTGTGGATGTGGCCGCTAAACTCGGCGAGGACACGAAGAAACTCGGAGAAGTGACGGAGAAGGCGTTCGAGGCCCAGCGCGCCTACCTGCTGATGGCTAGCCAATGCAAGAAGCCAGCTACTCTTAACCCAGAGCATCTCAAGGACCTTCAGGCTTGCATTAAGGAGATTAACTCTCTGCGTGACAACCGCAGCGAGTTCGCCAACCACCAGAATATGGTGAATGAGGGTATCCAGGCGCTCGGTTGGCTCTGTGTTGAGCCTGCACCCAAGCCCTTCATCGAGTCGTATGTGGGTGGCTCGGACTTCTGGGGTAACAAGATCCGCGTCCAATACAAGACGTCCAACCCGGACCAGATCGCCTTCGTGACGGCCTTCAAGAGCCTTCTGACTGAGCTTATGGTCTATGTCAAGGCGCACCACACGACCGGCGTCACTTGGAACCCCAAGGGCAGCGACGTGGCCAACTACACGCCCGGGGCGGCCGCGCCAGCCACAGCCGCGGCCTCTGCTGCTGGTGGTATGACAAACGTATTTGCCGGCATTAAATCCATTGACCAGAGCGGCGGCAAGACCGCCGGACTCAAGAAGGTCACGAAGGACATGCAGACGTGGCGCAAAGACTACCAGCCCGACGGCGCTGCGCCTGTAGCTGCTACTGCTGCTGCTAAGAAGCCGGCTGCACCTGTCAAAGTCGCCAAGCCTGCTGTCTGTGAAGAGCGCAACGGGAACTGGCAGATCGAGTATCAGACTGGCCCCGAGTCGCTCACCGTCAGTGGTATCAGCATGAAGCAGCAAGTGTACATCTTTGGTTGCGAGGGTGCCACCATCCTGCTGGAAGGTAAGGCCAAGAACATCGTGTTCGACTCGTGCAAGAAGACCAAGCTCATCTTTGACAACGCCGTGTCCAGCATCGAGGTCGTCAACTGCAAGAGTGTACAGGTGCAGTGCAAGGGTGTGGTGCCATCCGTGGCCATCGACAAGACGGACGGCTGCCTCGTGTACATCTCGTGGGAAGGTCGCGAAGTGCAGTTCGTCACGTCCAAGAGCTCTGAGATGAACGTGGCGTTCCCGCAAGGTGCAGGCAGCGACGACTATGTGGAGAAGCCGATTCCGGAGCAGTTCGTGCACAAGATTATGGACGATCTGACGATCTCGTCGGACGTGTCGGACTTGTACTCGCACTAGATTTCCAGCGCTGCAGCTGTGGGCACGCGGTTTGATGAGGAATGTTGGTATAGTGAGTGAACAAATTGCTCGGCCTCTTGTCTCTTCTTGACCCGTTCAAAGCTACTTTTATTTCCGCTCGTGCTCGTGTGAATGAATTGAGAACTTTGGGCACAGTTTTATCTTAAGCTTAGCGAAAGGTCGAGTCTCACTTGTATTTTAACGCCAGGAATGGGAAGAGCAATCGAGGTGGTGACACCGCCAACGCCAGTCGTGGTGGAGGAGCCGCCGCCAAGTCCGGTCGAAGGTCCACCTGGTCCTAGGACGCTGATCTCGCTGGAGCAATTGGAGCAGGTGCATGCGGCTGAGTCAGCGGCGGAGCGAGCTCAACAATTGCAAAGCGCGTTGGGTGTCCAGCACTATCCTGTAAACCCACGGACGTGCGTGTGGGTGGACTTCTGCTTCGGCGTGCTCAATTTCGCTAGGGACGACGCGCGTCTGACCCCCCAAAAGACGCTCGCCCTGCTCACGCTTGCACACGTCGTGTACACCTTTGCAACAGATCCTGCAATTGATAGAGACTTGTCAGTGAGTAAGATCTCTGAGCCGGTGCCACCGTATCCACAAGAGAGCACGCAGTCTCAAGAAGATGTCGTGCCAGCGCTTCTAGACTCGTATCCGTCGGTGGAAACTGTTTACGAGCACTTCCGCGAGAAGATCCGGCAAGCCAGTGGTGTAGTGCCATCGAATGACACAGCGCAAGACACAGAGACGCCATCGTCTGCCACTTCCTCGCCACCAACGCCCTTCTCGCCGATGGAAGTAGCACGGATCGTTACGTACTTCACCTCGACATTCTTCCGGCACGTACGCGCGTACCAGTATTTAAACCGCGTCCAACGACCGAGTGTTATGCGTGAGTGTCCTCTTTCTACCGAGACTCCGCTTCCTCCGCCTTCTCTTGCGGACGCTACCCTACAACCAGAGTGAGTAAATCCGCTGGTCGATCAGCTCGCACGGGACACAAATGGAGCTGATACATGTAAAAGAGGAAAAAGTACGAAAAATGCAATGGCACGCAGTCCAGTCCGTTCGCTTGCTTGCTTCAAGCGAGTTGCTTGACGTTGCTCAGCTTGATGATTCACATGATCGGTTAACACGATTTGAGGTTGCACGTAGCCATCCCATCGACGTTATGTACGTGGCAAGAAGCTCTTGAACTCGCATTTTGTATTGTTTGATATTTGGTATCATTCGGGGCTGCTGTGGCTGCTCTACTTCCCCGTGCCGTCATTTTTTTTCTTACGGCTCTACGCAGTCCAGTCGCCGCTTGCTTTCGCTGGTCTAGTTCGCCTGGCTGCGTCAAGTTGAACTGAGCTGTACACGCACGCACCTTCCCGACCGGAGCCTTGCCAAATTGCAGTGGAGGAAGTGCGCGCCCTCCTTTTGCGTCGCTACTGTACCTAATTGTCGCCTTGTCACATGTCTTCGGACACTTAGCCCGACATGTAGCCCTTGATCGTGTTGAAGTCGATGTCCTTGAGAGAGTTGATGGTGCCGTTCAAGATAATGAACGAGCCCACGATCTGCGAAGTACGCACCGTCAGGCCCTTGGGGAACAGCAGCGCCAGCGCCGTGGCTGCCATGTAGCGCTGACGAGGAGACACCGTGTTGGGCACGCGTACTTCTGCGCGTCGAATAAAGTCGTCCATGTGCTCGCCGTAGCTCTTCTGTGGGTGCATGAGCTTCATCGTGGACAGGTTGTGCGGTACGTGCGACAGGTAACCGGACACGACACCGGCCGCCATACTTCCAATGGCATTGTTCAGCGCGGGGCTCTCCGTCACGGACAGACGCTCCTCGAAGTAATCGGACAGCTGGTTCAGACCAACACCGAAAATCACCTCACGCAACATACGTGGAGCCGTACCGCGGATCCAGCGCGTGGCCAGCGACTCTGGGTTCATGTGTCCAGCGTTGAAAGCCTCTAGCATGCTGCTTACAGGCGTCATGATGATACCGGGCGACACAGCCTCCGTCAGACGCACTAACTGCGGATATTCGTACTGGTCGGCGTCCACGTTCTTCTCCAGCAGGTGACGGATGCCCTTAAAACCGTTAATGTACACGACACGCGTGGGGATCTGCAGGTGCATCTCAGGGAAGAGTCTGGCGACGGGCTGACCCGTGAGACGAGCGTTCAGCAGCGAGTTCATGCCACTGCGATAGAACGACTCGATGGAGGCGGCCACGGACGTGGCGAAGTAGGGGGTGGGCTTGGCGTGCTGCTCGAACAGGGGCGTGTGCAGTAGTGAGGCCTGTCGTCGGATTTCTTTGCTCAGACTGTGCATGACCTCGCGCGAGGCAGTTCTGTCCTCGAGGACCTCGTCAAGCGCAGAGCTCTGCAGCGAGAAGCCCGACACGGGCGTAAGGCAGCGTACCGTCACGGCCGCTGGGTCCTGTACAAGCGCGTGGTTGGCACTCACGGCCCCGCTGGTCATCACGTCGAGTGTGTGCTCTTGGCCCTCGATGATCTTGGTGGTCTCCACGCTGCCTTCCTTTAGTAGCAGCATCTCGCTCTGAGTTTCGCCCTGGCGGTAAACGACAGCGCTCTTAGGGTACGTCACGGCTTTGGCACGCGCGCAGATCTGGCGAAGCGTCGGCTCCGAGCACAGTGCGAACATGCCAGAGTTGGCGGCGGCTTGCATGCAGTCGTCCATGGTGGAAGAAGTAGTGACGTGGAATCTGGTTGAAGGCGGAAAAGAGCGGGCGGCGACGGACTGCTTCGTCAGGTCCGGAGCTAAAGCAGCAATGAAGCGACAGAAGGATGTGTGACGAAAATGTTTACAGTGATTGCAAAGTAAGTAGCGATTTTGACAGGGCCGCCCCTAAACTTTGCCCCTGAGAGCTCTACCAAGGTCATCAAAGAGGATTTCATGCATTGGATCGTGTAAAAAAGTTTGAGGGTGGATACTTTGGCGACTCTCAACAGGTTGATGATCCTGAGGAGCTGCATGGCTTTGCTTGTTGTGTACTTAAGTGCGCGCAAGACAAGCGCGGTTAATTTTTATGGGTGTTCAGGGCTGTGCGTCGAGTACGATTGCTCAAACCACCTCAGACGGATGGAGGAGAGTGGCCAAAGTATCTTGCGTTTTGTAAGCACACGAAGTAGAAAAACGGAGCAAGAGGATGAGCGGTGGACGACGTCATCAGCAGGGTGGCCGAGGTGAGGCCATCCGGCTGTTGTTGTTTCGGAGGCGAAGCTGGCGTGGACTTGCGGTCACGAGCGCCGAGCGCCCAGCATTTGACACATTCACGGGTTTGCGGCGCGGCGTCTTACGCAATGTCTGCAGCGCTACGACACTCGTTTCAGTACCCAGTGATGCAAATACACTGGATCCGGTTACTGCTGTTGACGATGCTAGACGAGGAAGCAGCGGCGGTAGATATGTTCGCGAGATCTCCTCCAGTACGCTGGCTTCGGCTGCGGCGACCTGTGCAATGCGTTCCGTGCGTCGGCGCTCAGTCGTGAGATCTCGTCGTTCGTTCTGGCTCAGCATGGCGTGAACGTCTTCCACGACGGGCGCAGCCGCCGTCTCTTTCCGACGCTCACGGGCGTCGTAGTCCACAGAGAAACGCCACGGATGATGCACGTTACCGTCGGAATTACCGGCGTTGGAGTTCAAGTTGCTGCTCGAAGCATCCAGCCCGCCCTGCATGAGCACACCCAGACACTCACCACTGAGGGACCAAATCTTCACCCGCCGGTCGAAGGACGACGTCACGAGACTCTTAGGCTCTGCTATCATCTGTACGGAATACACCACGTCGCCGTGTGCCTTCCAGCGACGAACTAGCGACACTGGCGGCAATCTCCGCATCTCTCCGTCTTCACATCGAGCTTCCTCATCGTCATCCACGTCGGTCGCTACGAGCGGCATACCCGGCGAATAGAAGAAAGACGAGAGCGGGTCACGATGCGCGTAGGCAGCATATTCCGGCGAGTTACGTGCCTTGCGCACCATACTGGCCGCGTCCACCCGTAGATTCCGCTGCGCGTTGGCACACTCGACCGGTCTCTCAAGTGGTTTAAGATCAAAACTGGTTGCAAGACGCAAGAGCAGCGGCAAAACGTTCCACACTCTCAAGAAACCTTTGTCGTCTCCAGTGATGACTAGGAAGGACGTGAAGTCCAATGGATCCCTCTCACCCTCGTCGTCGCTGTCGACGTGAGTGCGTGAATTTGAGGAGTTACGACGCGTAGAGTGCGTGGCGATGCAGTTTACGGCCGCAGTTCCCAGGTGGTTGTGCTGGTTGCGGAAGCGAAAGACGCACTTGCCCTTGTATCGAGCTGACGGACGCATGGCCCAGAAGCAGACGTTGCCCGTGCTGTCACTGGATAGAAGCAGCGGAAACGGGTCGAGGAAATGCAGACAGAGCAAGCCACTCACATGACCGATACATGTGGTGTCCAGACGTCCGAATTCATAGTCCCAGACTTGCAGAGAGCAGTCCGATGACCCGGACGCTAAGAGGGACAGGTGGTACGAAAAGCTGAGTGCTGTGATATCTGTCGAGTGTCCGCCGACAAGCCTCCGAAGCAGTACGCCGCGTTCCGAGTCTCGTTCGTCGTGGATATTGATGGAACAGTCCCACGACACACTGATGACGGCCATGTGCTCCGCGCAATAACACAACTTAGTGACCTCAGCAGTGTGGGCTCGATTGCCAAAGTCTGGGTATGCAAATGACTTCATGTGTGAGCCGTTCAGGTAGTCGAATACGTGGATGTTGCCCCCTGCGGTTGAAGACGATACGATGAGAACAAAGTGTGATCCATTTACAGCCAGGACCCAACGTACCGTGGTCGCCGATGATAAATTTGCGCTCTCGAAAGTCCAAGCAGAGCGTCGTCAGGTCCGAAGAACTCAAATCTCTGGGGGGGCGACCAAAAGCGTGAGTGATTGGAGAAGCACTACACGACGAAACACTGCACCTACCTGTACACTCGAATGAGCTTACCAAGACGCGCATCCCAGATTTTGACATCCCTTCCTGCAGCCGTGATGAACGAGAGAGACGTTGGATTGTACAGCGCACTGAACACGGGGTGATCGTCGGTCAGTTCGGGATTTTCCAGCTTCTCGTAGTCGAACTTGATCAGCTTCAGGAGAGCGACACCGTGAAACAGGAAGAGATTAACCTACTCTGACATGATCAAAAGATTGTAAATGGACGTGCCTTTTTGCCTGCTGCAACGATCCGCTTCGCCGAGGTGATGGATACAATGTTCTTGACGTCGCCCATATTCTCGGCTGTGAACGTCTGCATGCAGGCAAAGTTACGAATATCCCAGACCTTGAAGACTCCGTCTACATCGGCCGTGATGATCTGGGGGGGGTCGGGAATGATTTCCACCCCACACAGACTATTATTGTGACCATGCAACCGAAGAATAAGTTGATCAACGTAGGGATTCCACACCAGAGCGTCGAAATCAAACCCCGCAGACACAAGGAAGCGATACTCAGGTGAATAGGCAAGCGATCGCACACCCTTGGCGTGTCCATCAAGCTGCTGTTTGTGCTTCCCTGTGTGTACGTCCCATAAACGAATCGTTCGATCCATACTAGCGGAGGCTAAAGACTCGAGTGTGGGCAACTGAACAATATCGTTTCTCACTTAGCAAACCCTCTGGAGCGTTCAAGGACGGAGCAACGGAGTACGAACCGTGAGGAGATCAAGCACAATATCATCGTGGGATCGAGCTAATACCCGCCCGTGCACCTCGCCACTCATGTGATGTTTTTCTTCCATTCTCTCAGCGTCCCACGCGTAGACGATGCCGCTTACCCCGGCTGAAAAGAGCACGGAGGACTCTGGATACCATTTGAGGCAGTTCTGTGAGGCCGGAGTATGGCAGCTTTTCATGAGCCTCAATGTGGTGTCGTCATAGAAGCGGAACTGCAGGTCGGAAGACGCCACGATGTATTGATTGAGCTGTGGCAAAGTACAGGTCTGTGTGCTAAGCAGTGGAAAGTTCACCCTTTTGATAAATAAAAGAGGGCAACCCACCTTAGGCAAATGCTCGGCACACTGTACAAACCCTTCGGGGGACTTGATTGTACGCATGAGCTCGCAGTTGACGTTGTAGATCTTGAGATATGGACTGCAACTTTCGACAAGCGCCATAAGATCGTTGGACGGGAAGTAATAAATATGGTCGATGAACGTGCTGTGCTTTGAAGCGTCTTCCCATTGCACGTGGTGGTATTGCTGGATGGAGTTTGGCTGGTGGTTCTTGACTGTCAGCCCCGTATCCACAATAAAAGACGTGAATTCTTCCCACTCCATCGAGCCGTCACCGTTGATATCAATCTGTGCAAACAGTTCGCACAGATTCGCGACGAGCTGCGACTCGGACAGATCGTGGAGCCGAGAGTTCTCATCGGTGTGAGCGCTGCTCTGCACAAAGCGCATCATGACGTAGACGAACTCGGCAATGGACAAGCCTTGATCCTTGCGCTCGAACTCGGTACGCAGTGTGCTCACCTGCCAATTGCAGTTGGTAGTATCAATAGCACTTTACACTGTGAGCGGGGTGTTGGTGGTTTTAACTCACTTTTTCCATGTCCATCATCATCATAATGTCCATGGTGAAACCTTTCTCGGGATCGTGCTCGTAGGGCCGACCATTGGCCCGCTGCTTGAAGCTGCGTGCACAGTATCGCTGCGTCAGAAGTGCAATAGAAGGCTGGAATTGATATACTGTCGTACAATTGATTTGTCAATTCGGTCAAGAAGGCAGGAGAAATCTGCTTGTCGCGGTCGAGTGCATCCTCATCCATGCTATGAAATCCCAAAAGGTTGCAACCTTTTGAATTTCTACTAGTTTATGAAACCTTACCGCAGGGGTTTTGTGGACAACTCATTAAAAAGCCCATTTTAAATCAGCCAATAAAATACGTCTTAAACATGAGGTAATTGTGACACTTCTTTTATAAACCACACATGATCTACTGTGAAAATTCAATTATAAGGATCAAGTTTTTATAGATTTCACCTTCAATTTTTGCTGACGGCGTGATGGCGCGACCAGGACGCCTACGCAAGGCAAAGTGCAGCGGCTCAAAGTTAGAGCAGTACAAACGGGCTGCTGTAACTTATGAGTATAAGTTTCACGCTCTGCAATATTTAGGTACGTCAACTATGGCGGGTGTGGTAGCAGAATTTTTCCTAACTAGCAATTCTAACTCGAAACGACGGAAGGTATACGCCTGGAAGAAGCTGGGAGTTGTTAAAGAGACCAAGATTGCTAGTGACTCTCGTTAACATCAGCATAGTCGCACCCTCGGCATGAGTGCTACGCTGTTAGCGGAGGTAGAGGAGCAATTGGTTCGGTGGATAAATGTGACGGGGTCACACAGCACCTTGCGCTAGAGGAAGTTATCGTCCGAGGGTATACAAACTCTCAGTGAACGGCAGTTTACAGGTCCCCTCAGAGAGCGAAGTCACCAAATTAAGGTAGAATGTAAACTGAGTATATTTATAGGTAGATAAAGCTTGGGTTTAATACAAACTACAAGTCACCTATAGAAATGCAATGCCGTTAACCAATGGTTGGCTTTGAACGACCTTGGTACTTTGTACCAAATATCCCGAAGTATGACGTGTCATACTCCTGAAGTGTGAAGTGTCGCACTTCATGTAACCAGGGTACACTTAGGGATACGTACTTCGTACATCCTTCCCCACTTAGGTTCGGTTTACCGACCAATCAGAATGAAGAGGTGTTCGTCACAAACTCTCATTCTCAAAGTCGAAAAGCATCGACTTGGCCGCGCGAGCGCGGCGGAGGCTCACTTTACAGTTAGAGCCTCGAGCAGCAGTCTGTGCGCTCTTCTTCTAAGTCTCCACTTCGACCGTTTATCATGCCTCGTTTGCACAGCAAAGAGTGGTGCTAAGACACGCCTCCAAAGGCTG